TATAATTATTTGAAATTTAAATATAATATGCTTTATAATATATAATTTTAATTTTTTTATTGTATAATAAAAAGTGTTCACAATAATATGGGTACTTTTTGTATTTTTTTAAAATAAAATTTTTTTCAAAATCTTTTTAACTAAAAAATTTTTTTAATTAAATATATTTTAAATGATATCTAATTATTTATATTTAAGAAATAAACTTAAAATTAAAAATATTAAAAATATATTAAATATATCAAAGTTAAAAAACAATTTATTTATATTATTAATTTTATAAACAATATATTATACTTAAATAATAATAACAAATTTATTAATTATATTTAATTAATTTATTACCTATAGTTACAAATATTTTTAATTAATATAATTATAATTTTTTTGTGACCTACCCAGTCATAGTCCAGTGAGCTAAGGCAGGGTAGGGCTAACTTATGAACCACAGTTCAACCCCAGCTGGGGGCAATTCACATATCCTAAAAATAGGACTTTGTGTCACTGCTCCTGTAACTTGTAATAGAGAGCAATTTGGATTGTTCCAGCAATCAAGAAGCCTTATGGATAGACTACACCCCATAGGTCAAAAGATAGATAATCTGATTGATAAAATTTTCTAATCAAGTATTGCCCAAAAAATATCTCCAAAAGGGGAAAAAAGTTTCATGGGATCTTTCCAGTAGTGAAAGGAAAGGTACAGACGGCTAAAACCATTAGTCGCACAACTATCAGTAAAAGTTTTATATGTCCAATAGTAGCAAGGATCCAGTCGGGAGTGCAGGAGGTTGCTTATATCACAGGATGTTCTATCCTAAGGAGTACACTTGCAACAGTTGACTGCATGATCCCATAAAACGTAATTCCCCATATGTGTTACTAGATTAGATTAGGAAGGATAAGGCTGGATCTGATTTCCAGATGAATTTGGTATACTGGTGTACTCTCATCCTGCCAATGATATCTCATTAACTAAATCCTAGTAAGTCTTGATTAAACTGAATGGTTGAAATACTGTAGTGGTGACTGCAGGCAATGATTATCTTGGCATAATAGCAAAGGTCTGTTTGCCTTGAAATAGCAACTTTTCACCCCACCGTCTATACTTAGAGGCTTAGATCTAAGACAAGTAGTTAAAACCAACATCATCATCCCTTGTATCCTGGAAAAACACTGGGAGATTGGCAAAAAGGTGATAAAAGGTACCTGAGTTGACGACAAGAGTTAAAAAAAAAAAATAATTATAATTTTTTTGTTTGTATTTTAAATTAATTTTTATTTATTTTAATTTTTAATTAATTAATTTTTTTTTAACTTGATTAACTGGATTCTATTTAATATACTTTATTTAATTTACATATATATTCATTATATATTATAAAAAGTTTTTATATTTAAATTATTTTAAATTATTGTTAAACTATATCAAATTTGATTTTCATATTAGCTTGTTACTATTGATTTTATATCTAAAGGTTTTTATTGATTAAAACTAATGTATTAAATATTATTAGTATTATTATTATATATTAAATTCTATTTTTAATCAGAAATATATTAAAAGAAAATTTGAAAAAAAAACCAAAGTAATACTATTTGAATAAATAGAACTTTATAAAAAAAATCTTCTAGATTTAATTTAATTTTTATATATTTTAAAGCTATTTAAAAATGTTTAAGAAACTTATTTTACAAACTTATTGTTTATAAATTATTTCAGCTATTGATACTTACTGTTATTTTAGTTATTTTCTTAAAATAAGTAAATGTTAAAGTGATTTATTATTGAATTGAAATAAGATCTTTTCAAAAACTTGTAAAAAAAGATATTAGATATTATAAAAAATAATTATTAAATTATCTTATTAAAAATAAATACCTTATACACTTTATAACTTTCAGTAATCAATATAATATCTATTAGATAATTGTTATATCACAATACCTTTTTTAAAAATTACAATCTTAATATTTATTGAATCAATGTATAAATTGATTTCTTACAAGAAACAGTATCTATAATAGTTATAATATTAGATATTATATTAATTCAATTTTTTATCCTTATTTAAGATAAAACTAATATTTTATAATTTGATTTATAAAGTATTAACTACTATACTATAAATTCATAAATTATTTAATATTGAATAAGTATTTATAATTACTTAATATTATTTAATATTCATTAGTTAAAATTTTATAAGTAAGCTAATATTTAATTTGTTATTTTTATATATAAAAAATAGCTTTTAAATAATATATATTATGTATTATATAAATAAAATAAATAAATAAAATTTATATTAAAAACTCTTCCCACTGATCCTTTTGCCAACCCAAAAAACAGATGTTCTTGAAAAGTTTTTTTATTTTTCAATAATAAAGTCTAAACACTTTCTTTAATAATACATATTCCTAAAGGCAAAAGTCTCTTCCACTTGGCTACTTTTCTTTTTTCAAAACCTTTTGAATATTTCAGTAACAAAACATTCAAAAACTCACCTATTTGGTTTATAGCAAGAACATCTTATTGGGAAGAAGAAATCGATCTGACCCTCTTCTCTCAAAAACTGTATTAAGAAGCAATAACATTTTTTAAGATGTGGATTTCAAGAAATTTTCTCTCTTCCATGATCCCTCAAAAAAAAAATGGATGGCTTATCCTTTCCAAAAGATTGACATAATTATTATTACCAAACTCAGCATTGTTTACTGATCAATAGTTAGACTAAATATGCCCAAAAAACCTTTGTACAACTATTATTATTCAAAAGTATCCAAGGAGTTGCACCTCACAATATCCAGAGTGAAATAGTTGCCAATATTAATATAACTAGCAATAAGCTAGGTTAGTTGCAGGTATTATGCTAATGATTGGAAAACTTAATAGAGTAATATGTAACAACCAAAGATTCTAGTTATTTCTGAAAACAAGATGGTAACAACAACAGAAGTTCTTTACTTACTCTTTGAATAATATAGGTCTATTGTATAAGATTAGATTATAGCACCATTAAAAAACTATTATAAACTCTATCCATAGGACACTTTCACCACATTTGAAGTATGGGTATGTCAAATCATTTTTGTAACTTGAAGGCAAACCTGTATAAGGTGACTGCAGCAACTTCATGCAAAAAGGTATTCATTTTTCACCACCTTCAACACTATTTCATTTGCTATATATCAAGTTATATTTGAAAAGCAGGCATACCAATTCTAATTATGACTTGGAGATTAACCTGTATAGATTGGCTGCAGCACTTTTATATGATTAGGTATTCATTTTCTTCCAGGTAACTAGATGCCATTCAAGGCAATAATATAGACTTTTGAATTTCTTTTTTTTTGTATTTCTTGAATAGTGCCAAAAGAGCACAGGGGTTGGATCCATTTTGGAGCCTTGCATTAAACTCTTCTTAGCAAAGAGAGATATATATCATACTATTAATATTGTATCTTGTTTTGTAAGTGAAAGTATAATAAGTGTAATAGCCATTTGCTTTTTTTTTAAAAAAAAAAAACAAATGAAAATTTGAAATATTATTTAATTTAAAAAATATTATTGTTAATTTTTTTTAAAAGATATAAATTAATAATAATCATGAAAAATTGATTTTTTTTTGTTTTAATAAATAAATAAAAATCACAAGTTCAATTAAAAAATATATATATTTACAAATTATATATTATTGTTTATAAATCATTATAATATACTATCTTAAATAATCCAAATTTTTTTTTAAAAAAGCAATTTATTAATAAAACTATTAATTATGTTTGAATTATAATAATTTTAATATTAAAGATTTAAGAATTATATACAAATCATAATGATTATTGACAGGTGTAATAGGTCAAAGGTCATTTAGTAAAGTATTCTGATTTTTTTTTTTTTAGGAATTTTTAAAAAAACACGAACCTAATTTTATTTTTAATACTAATTTATAAAATTTTAAACTTTTACTAACAAACATCGTCCCTTTATATATGCATAATATAACTTATATTTAAGTAATGTCAGTTTAATAATGCAATTTATGACATTTTTTTTCTAGCTCAGATGGCATGGCTTAAATATGTTATACAGAAATTGGTTCGGTTATTAAAATTGAACATAAACCAAACCGAGCGACCATTTTGTACTGCAAATTATACGTACGACGCGACCCATTTTAACACCCAGCATTTTGTCATTTGATTATCGCGGCCGTGAGAATCGCGTGATTCGGCCGACTTTAACGCAAGTGCGATCGCTTTGCTATCTTATTAGTATATAAGATTAATTAATTTCCAAGAATTTCAGCTTGAGTCGATAAATTCGTGAATTCCATTTGTTCGTCATCAGATTCCTTCCATTGTGACTTTCTAACTTCTTGTGTCCAAAATTTCATTCGCAAATTAAGAGTTTTGAGCGATATTGGTCTGTGGGAAGAGAAATTTTTTGATAGGGAAATTAAACAAATTAAGTGTGAAGTGGCAAATAGTAAATTGAACGAATCCAAGATCAAATTACTTTGTTAAAAACTCGTCGCAACCGGCCCCTTCCTGTGTCAATTATGAGATTAATCAATTTAGTTCATACGAGGTTTACTGAAAAAAAAAAAAAATTCTTGCCGCCTCTCGGCTATCTTCCTGATATTTAAAGTAAAAAGTGATAATTTTTTTTTGGTTAGAAAATAATTCATTACAACCATACTAAAAAAATCCTTGAATTCAAAGTAAACTTGTTTTTCTCACGTAAGATGCGAGACCCGTCATCGCAACAATAATTGCTCTCTTAGTTCCTTTTCTCTTGTCGCTTTCGTTATTGTTCGTGTATGCATTTACGCGTACGGAGACTAAACTCGAACCTTCGCCATTTTCGATTTTGCGAATCTTACATATACAGTGCATATATAAAAAGGTTCAAAGACTTCATGTGTACCAATAGCCAAAGTTAAAAGATCTATACTTACTTCTCTTGTTGCCTCAATCTAATCGTGTTTATAAATAACCAGGCGTCATATACGCCAATCAAAATTTTCACATCAATACAGAACTTTAATACCTACCCCATCACATATTGGCATCTGAAGGTCCATAAATATGATATCATAGTGCTTTTGAGCAAATTTTTCGATCGCTATCACGTAAGCAATAGACGATCTATCGTAAGCGCGCATCCTTTGTCAAACAGCATGCCAAACAACCTAAAAATTTTTGACAGGAAATAAATACCTTCGAGTCCATTGACAGCGATGTCATAATTATGATATCCAGCTTGTTTTAACATCGTTATCAGAATCATTGCATTAATTTTATTATCCTACAATCAATCAAAATTAATGTTCGCATAAGAAAGTAAAATTTTGGCGGGAAAATCTTTCGTCACTACCTCAACAATCAGAAATGATAAGTCTTCATTCCCCTCCGGTTTTTCCTCAGATTTCTTCATGTAACTTTCAACATCTTTATTTTGAGTAACATGTTTCATTTCGCCATATCCTTGATCTTCGCCGATTCTCGCGTCATTATTAATCTCCATTTTCTTTACCAATAGGTTTTCTTCCGTTATCGCGGCGGAACCAAACATGCTTGGTGAAAGAATCAATTCACCACCTGGACCCGTTTCGTTAGGGATCACATGTTCATTGGAGGAGGGTTGATCTGATGATGAACGCAGTGATCCCACCGCCTTAATGATTGCGTTGAGTATCTTTGTCGGACCAGCTGGCTATAAGCAGTATGTTTCTTGATTTTAACGGATGATCGTGATTCACGATTTCACTGAATAGAGATCGCGACAGTTTACCTTCAAGACAATGATGACGGACCTAGATCGATAGCTTTTTAATATATCTTCTGCCTCCTGGTAGTCTCCTACTGTCGAAAAGAACAGTATTCGTTGTTCCCTTTTCGGTTCATCAGTTCTCAACTTTTCTGCTGTTGGATTTGACTCATCAATTTTCGACTTTTCTGAAGTTGGATTTGGTTCATCAATTCTCGACTTTCCTGCTGTTGAATTTGATTCGTCAATTCTTAACTTTTCTACTGTTGGGCTTTTCGTTATGAATTCATCTAAAAAGTGCTTCAAGTTATTTAAGCTGTAGTTCAATATGACAATGTCGGCATGTTTCCATTCACAATCTCTTTTCAATTCATCCTCATCCATCAAACTATATGAAAATCTCCATTTATCGAGGTAACTTATGACTCGTTGACAAAATAGGGAATTTCGGTGATTTAAGACGACATAAGATAATGAACGCAATTGTTCGTTTATTTTCCTCTGCTCGCTTAGTAGGAGTCTTAAATATTGATGATCAAACGGTAAGGAGGATGATGGCGTTGAATTTAACACAGGTGACAATAAAACATCCAGTGCGAAAGAGAATTTACTGCCCACGCCAAGTTTAGATTCAACCTCCAGGCGGCTATTCATCATCTCAAGAAATCCTGATGAGATTCGGATAAGAAAGATAAGAAGATCGATTATACGAAAAAGAACATTTGGAACTACAACTTATTGAATTCATGTTCGTATACCTTTAACGATGCTGAGGCCTAATCCGGTTCCTTCAAATTTTCTTCGTAACGAAGCATCCTCCTAATTTTTCCGTAATCTAGCCGTTATTAAGGATCCCATAATTTGCATTGTAAATCATCATAATGAAATCAACGGAAAACCTGGGAAAATGGTTGGTACAGATTATTCATAAAATCTGGTGCAATCCCACGTCCAGTATCCACAACTTCTATGCGGAATTTCGCTTTTGGAAGAAAGTCTACAGAGTTTGATGTAACAACGTCAGAATCCTCAAATTCATAAGATCTCACTAATTTATGCTTTTCTTTTCTCTTCGTTATTTCTTGTTTTGGTCTTTCATCTTCACTGTGGTTTTTTTCATCATCAGTTAATTCGGTGATGATCAGTTCGATCCGACCCTTGTCAGTGAATTTAATCTTGTTTTAAAAATAAAATTTTCATTATTAAAAGTTCCTCCACGAATAAACGACAGATATCAAGTCAGTAAGTTACCGCATTTCCCAGAAGCTACAAGTATCACATTTTGAAGATCAAGGATAATAATCAAATACAATATTCGAATAGATATGAGGTCAAAGAAAAACGTGGATACGTTCAAGATTATCTGTCTCAGAACCCCGAGATCTCCTTTAAAAAATCTATGCAAAGGATTGATCTCCCCGTAGATGACGAAATCCAAGTCTTTCCTTCCGGAGATTGGAGCCAGACCTGTGCATGTACATAAACAAATCATCGACAATCTCAGAAGAAATTAGCAAAGGAAAGCACAAGAGAGATTTTGAGATGCGAAATACATCGCCTCTTACCGTCACCTATTTCTTGCATGAGAGCGTAGATGTCAAAGGGATTTTGTTCCTAATGATTACATCATGGGAACAAAATTTCATTAGGAGAAACTGAAGCAAGCATAAAGCAGATTGTAAAGAAAGTAGTTCACCAATTCCAATTTTCCATGTTCAATTCTTGCATAGGTCAACACTTGATTGATTACCTATTGGAAGAGAAGACCTGTTCAAAGAAAATTCTCTGAAAAAAATCAATGAAGAATGATGACAGGTTATACCGAAATTAAATTAGTCCCACAGCTTTCAATGGTATTTAATAAGCTTCGTTGGGATTCGTTTAATTTAGTTTTCGCCAATATTTCTACCGTGGCAAGAATGCCTATTATAATGTCGAACATATTAAATCAACTAATTATTAAATAATATTCATATTTCATATTTCACTCACCATGCAAAGGCTTTATCAACAAACATAAGTGCAAATTAAAGTCACTGTTCGATTCTTAACTAATCAATAATTAAACCTTAAATTTACCGTTCGCAACTCTACAAACGTGATGTGATAAAAAATAAATCAACACGTTATATGCCACATTACGAAAATTCTATAGATCGATCATTACCATGGCTGACATTAGAAATGAACATTGATTTCGCCGTCGATGCAGATTTCGCCTAATAATAATAATGGCCATTGGAGATTAAAAAAAAAAAACGCGAAGAAATCATCTTCAATCTGTAGAATGATGATAGGCGACCTCCTCCAAATTTTTTTGCATTCGTTCCTGGTTTAATTGAAATTCTTGTTCATACGCGGCCTATAAGTCGCATTAGTTATAAGGAGATAGGCAAACAAAGTAAAGCACATTCCGAATCTTGAAACCAGCAATACTTACGAACAAAAAATACATAAAGCATAACATATAAATGTCGCATATAATCCATCCAATTGAAAACACTGTTATAGGAATTGCCTCTCTACCATATGATCTGCATCATTTTGCGGGTAATCAAATGAGCATAAATTATTATCGGATTGCCCCCAACAAAATCAGCACACAACGCCTAAAAGGTACAATAGATACCGAAAGAAGGAAATCACGTAAATTATGCAGACTAGAACAGTAGATTGCTTGCCGAAATTTCTTGAAACAAAAATATATCTATAAAAGAATAAGAATGAACCCTGGGATAAAAGAGTAAACTGATTTAAACACAATCGAGTTGTCAATAAACATACCCAAAAGGCGGCACAGCAAAAAAGTTGGCATGACTCAAGGTTTGGAATCCTTATAGGAGAGATAGTCAGGCATCGAAAAGGATGAAGCATTGTGGGCATGAATGTGGATAATAATTTACCATTATCCGTTAAAGAAATGTGAGTGGAAATCAGAAGGAAATAGTAAAGCCCGATTTTTGCGGCTTGTGTAATCGTTATCTTTCCTCTAGGTATGTAATACAGTAGTACTTGGATGCCATATTCAAAGGAATGGATAAGTAACAAATTTTTCATTTAAAATTTCGTGGCGCAGTAATCGCAGCAATCGAACGACTTTACCCGCAAAGATTAGAATTCCAGCCAATAGAAAAGGCCAATTAAAAGAGGAGAGTGAGAGACGTCCTGCCATACTATTATTATTCCCGCTGAATAACGAATAGATTTCTAACACCATTTCTGCAACGAGCACTACAAACGTTGAAATCGTGATAGAAACCACGGCACGCGCTTGTAATAGACCGCGTCGTGAAAAGTAATCTTCTTCATAATCTATTATAAAAAGACAGACAGAACGAAGATCCAATTAAAAAGTTACGTATCTTGATGCTAAAGAGCATGTAGGGTGTAAATTATTATTTTATTATTCATTTTTCACTTTTTCTCGATAATTTGCTCAGCCTAAATTTTGAGCATAAAAAATTATGAAATTGAATGAAGAGATGCTATAACTATCCAAGCAGGAAAAATCGCTCGTAACAAAGTATCTATTCCCAATCGGTGACCGAGACGAGACAGAAAATTCTCTGAATTACCTTTATTCAAAATATTTGTAGGGATTAACCAATCAAACATGGAATAATAGTTTGAGAGCAATGTTTTCATTTTATCTCTTGCAAAACGCGTGAAGCCTAACAAGTAATTCTTCATTTTGGCTCGATCAAAGAAAATTTTAATTGTTGGTGGTAGTTAGAACGTATATCTTTGACGTCACGTTAATTATGATGGCTAAAAAAATAATTGTATCCAACTCCCCGGAAAGGTAAAATTTTTATATTCAAAAAAAAAATAATTTAATAAACTATTTAAATTATCGTAATACCTAATACGTATCAGTCGCCAGAAAAATAAAGCCCGATAATCAATTTTATATTTAATAAGGTACAGTAATTAATTATACAGTATGTACAATATCTTATTTCTTTTCAATAATTCTTGTTTATTATTAAATTGATTATTTTTGTTTTTTTGTTTTTATAAATTAAAATAAGTTAATATTGTTTAAAAAAAACACACTTTATGATTTTTTCAAAATAATTAATTCTTTTTCTTGATTTTTTTATTACGTATTTGGGTAATTATTTTTGAAGGCGACAGAAATGCTAGGTATGATTTTTTCGGACCCAGCTTTTAAACAATACTTATATA